CCTCTCTCTCTCTCTCTCTCTCTCTCTCTCTCTCTCTCTCTCTCTCTCTCTCCATGTGTATGTGACAAGTGGGGGAGTTGCTGATATGATCGTAATCAGTATCACAGTCTCATTGTTATGAACTGCTTAAGTTCTTTAATATAATACAAGCGGCAAAATTGAGAGTCGCGCAAATTTTTCTTCATACCTTCCCAATTGTTTATGACTTCATGTTCAGTGTCTATAATGCTAATTAAAGTAGATATGTAAAGTTTTGGCACCTACAATCTTACCCTCTCCATTTTTTTATTCTGGATTCAATGCATGATAAAAAAATTCTCGAAACAAATCTTTGATCACTTTTTGTTTAACTGAAAAGTTTCTAGTACTTTAGCTAAATACGATACCTTAATCATCTACTTTTGTGCTTTTCATGAAAAGCTAGATGTGTTACAGGTTTATATTGTTGGGGAAGTATATGATAATCCAATGTACCCATAATCCAATTGAGTCATCACCATCCATTGAAGTAATTTGGATGGTGATGCACAGAGAGTGGTATCTACGAGAACACAACATGACCATGACAGTGGATCCCACTCTCTATCTATGGTTCTCCATACTACATTGGATTATAACATACTTTCCCTTTGTATTGTGGTTGTGATGATTTTAATTTCCAATGTACTACTTTTGTTTGGACATGGGTCTTCTTCAGCGAGCCTCCTTACCATTTCCAATCATAAAAGGTGCTATTCCAACAGCCATTTATAAATTTCGGGCTCTTTAAGTTGCTAACTGATGGCCATTTACAAATTTTGGTCTGCTTTTTTATTGTATAAGTTGCCTGCTTAAGCTGCTAGCTAATAACCATTTTGAATATTTGGTCTGCTTCCATGATTGTTTAAGTTGCTAGCTGATAATCATTTATCAAATTGTTTCTTTCCCTGAATTTATAGTATAGCTAACTGATAACTATTTTTGAACTGTGGTATGATAGAACCTTATTGTTGGTTGATGTCCTCTAGTTCCTAATTCATTGCAGCTACTAATCGCAGTCATCTTTTCTATGGGGATACTTAATATCACCTATAGCTGGAGGAATGCTGGTTGATTATTACGGTGGTAAGATAGTCATGGCATGGGGTGTGGCCATATGGTCAGTTGCCACTTTTCTTACTCCATGGGCTGCAAACCACTCACTGTTGGCCCTACTTGCCATGCGAGTTTTGCTTGGTGTTGCTGAAGGTGTGGCTCTTCCTAGCATGAACAACATGGTCTCAAGGTATTGCACCTTTAATCTTCATGCTAATATATCTTGGTTGGGCCTGGTCCTTAATTTGGTTCACGCTAGTGGTAAGCATGCTCTTTAATTTATGTGCTTCTTAGTTTGCTTTACTCTCTCTCTCTCTCTCTCTAAATTGCTAACTTATGTTGTTAGTCATTGAACTTAATCTCTCTTATAGGTGGTTTCCTCGAACAGAGCGATCAAGGGCTGTTGCTCTTGCAATGGCTGGATTTCAACTAGGGTGTGCAATTGGGCTCATTGTATCCCCTATTATCATGTCTCAGATTGGAGTGTTTGGACCATTTGTGATATTTGGGTTGTGTGGGTTTCTTTGGGTTTTGGTATGGGTATCTGCAACATCAAGTACTCCTATGCTTCATCCTCAAATATCAAAATATGAGTTGGATTATATCCTAGACAAGAGGCCAGGACCTTCGGGGTCTACTGCAATGAAGTTACCAAAAAGTGCTAAAGGTTTACCTCCTTTCAAGGTTCTACTATCAAAGTTACCTGTATGGGCTCTTATGTGTGCAAATGCTATGCACAGCTGGGTAATTCCTTTTGCACTTTATCTCTTTAATATCTCGGTGTGGAGATTATAAAGTTATTCTATTCCACGATGAGGAAGAATATTGCAATCCAATGAACGGCCTCAAAAAAACAAAAAATTACAATCCAATGGACTTTGGAAAACCATATTTCCTGGGGTCATTATCATCCAATGAAATGATGGATGATGATGGAGAGAGAGTAGGACCCTCAAGAAAAGGGAGTGATTTGAATGGTGGATCCCACTCTTTGTCATCACTGACTACCATTTCAATTGATGGTGGTGTCCTTAATGATTATATGGTTTTCAAATAATCAAATGGACCATTCATAAAAAGAATAATCAAATGGACTTCAGCATACTTTCATGTAATGGTTGAATATTACTTTGTACATCCTTAATTGGGTCTCTCTCCCCCCTCCCAAAAAATCCTCCCTTCCTCACCCACCAATATACATACACACACACACAAAAAAAAGATGTGTTTAATTTAATGTGATGTATGATAATATACTCTTTTCTTTTTCTCTATTTGCAGGGTTACTTTATCGTTCTCTCATGGATGCCCATTTACTTCAACACAGTAAGGTTCATCTCAGTGTCTTAGTAGTATGTTATCTATAGCAAGTTTCTAGTTACTTCGATAGTTGTTCATCCATAATCCTGTAACATTGGGTGTGGTCTTCCGTGCAACAGATTTATCATGTAGACCTTAGGCAAGCAGCATGGTTTAGTGCATTCCCATGGTTTATGATGGCGACTCTAGGCTATGTTGCAGGTGCTGCCTCAGATATGTTGATTCGATCTGGTTTCAGTGTCACATTTACTCGCAAGGTTATGCAGGTAATTCAAAGGCAAATGTTACAATATGGCTCATTTGTCTTTTACTTTCCATCAGTTGTGAGAAAGGTGAAATATGCTATGATCCATATGATCATTGAAAAGCTTTGTTGATTTGGTAATAAATGATAGTGTAATCAATTGATGGACGGTGATGGAGAGAGCAGAGCTACCATTTCGGTAATGACACGTGTTCGTGTGCCCCATTCTCTTTATCACCATCTCTCAATTGGTTGTATTCACAATAACACATACAATCGTAGGTTTTTCTATGATCATTTATCATCTTTGAGAAAACATTTTATCAAGGAGACAGATGAAAGTTAGCAGTTAATGCCAGCATTATGCTTAAGATTCGTGCTTCACATGTTTTACTTGATTCCCTTTATCTACTGTAATATACCCCTCTGAAAATTTGTGACTTAAAAATGGTTGAAGTATTGGGTTTTTGTGCTAGGCCTTACCCATTTTTTGTATAGGGCTACCCTTTTGGGGAAGTCCATTCTTTTGGCGAGAGGCCCGGTGTGTGGTTTCCCTCTATGCACCATTGTATTTATTCCCTTCTTTCAATGCAACAGTCAACAGCATCCAAAAAAAAAAAATTGGTTGAAGTAATATCATTGCTAGGGGTGCAAACAAGTGTGGTGACCTGTTCCTGGTCTGAACCCAAGCGTTCTGGTCCGTGTCTAAGAGACTTGACCCAGCACGGCCTGGGTCCGGCCCAGATCAAGTTGGCCCACTGGTCAAAAATCTTAAGTAATCAGGTCTAAAATTATTAATGTGTGTTCGTTTTTACGGGGTCAAAACCCAAATTTCGCTTGTTTCAATTATGATAATAAACTCCTCTATATTGCTGTTTTTTTAGTCAATTGGCTTTGTTGGTCCTGGGATTTGCCTTCTTGGTTTAAATTCAGCAAAGTCCCCTTCTATTGCTTCCATTTGGCTTATGGTGGCTCTTGGATTGAAGTCTTTTGGCCATGCTGGTTTTCTAGTAAATATCCAGGTAAGGAGAAATAGAGAAGGCTGTTCAATTTGGTGTTTGTTTTTATTCATGTTAATGGCCTTTCTAACTGTTTCTCTCTCATGTGATCAGGAGATTGCTCCACAGTATACTGGTGTTTTACATGGTATTTTTCTTCTGATATGCTTTTACTATACTGCTTTTCCGATCAAATGTCATAGTGCTTCTTAGTTTTTTGAGAGACTTATGGTTGGGTCCCTTGGGGTTTTACATGGTACTTTTCTTCTCCTATGATGTCCCATAGAAATCACAGAGAGGGTAACTTCTTCCTGGGTGACCAAGGGGTATCCGTTACTCTCTCTCTCTCTCTCTCTCTCTCTCTCTCTCGGGGGTTGGGTGGTGTTGTAATGGATGTGGGATATGTCCACAGGTCTATCGAATACAGCTGGGACGTTGGCAGCTATCCTGGGGACGGTTGGAGTGGGTTTCTTTGTGGAGCTGATAGGTTCCTTCCATGGCTTTCTCACTCTTACTGCTTCACTCTATTTGCTCTCTGCTCTTTTCTGGAACCTCTTTGCTACAGGTGAACAGGTGGTTTTCGATTGATAAAATCACCCTTGTGGGGAGCGAGCCTCACTTCCAATGACGTTTTGCACCATGTAATTGTTTCTCATTCAGGGGCCTAGCAGCTACGTTGGCTGTGTGTGAGAGAAAGAAATTATTTTTTACTTATATCTTTTTCAAAGAGGCTCGAGAATTAGAGCGGGGGTGTTTTTTTTTTTTTTGGATGCGGTTAGCATGCGGCAAGCTCACGTATTGGAGAAATGCGGGATTGGCAGTAAATGTATTTTTTAAATGTAATTTGATCCTAATTTTCAGAAAATATATAATCTTTAACATGAAGATCATGAATATGGAAAAATAAAATAAATGGTGAAATCTAGAAATAATAATTCTAGTAAGAAAACATTTAGACCGCTAGTTTTCAGATGGAACACCTTTACATTTTCTGGACCGCATATGTAGAAATGTTGTCCAGAAATAGTTTTCTATTATATTAAGAAAACAAACATTTGGACTGTTAGTTACCATTGTTTTTAGATGGACCACCTAGTTGCATTGATCTTTTAGATGGATGCTTTATAATGCATATTGTAGAAATATGGTCCAGCCTTTAGACCATATGTTGTAGAAATGTGGTCCAGTTAGAGGCCTTTGGACCGCATAGTATAGAAATACGGTCGAATCAAAACAATTGTTATTTTTGGGTGTCGTACAAAAAACGAGAGAGAGAGCGAGATCTTTTAGTTGATCGGATGAAAGCAACTAAGATTTGGTTGAGACGGCACGGTGTGAAAGAGGTTGTGAGAGATAGAGATCATTATGCAAAAAGCATTAATTGTTGAGAGAGAAAGCAGCTACGTATTGATTTGGGCTTGGGGTTTTGATTTGGTAAGTTAGGTTTCTGAGGCCTAGACTTTATAAAAATAAAATAAAGTCTCACCTCAAATCTTCATATTACAATTTTTTATTTACCAAGGAAGGCGTTACTTATTTTGATAGAGTTGCAGCCCTATCAAATCATTTTTCTAAGTTGATTATGTTTGTAGCACTACATCCCAAGGTCCATTCTATTGCTTAGCTGCTCAAAAGTTCAGCGTTTATTGTGAACCAAAAAAATGATGGGTCACCTAGTTTCATTTTTCGGAACGAACTCATGGGTTATAACTTCAGACTCTTGGTTTTCCTTTACCAAATTCATGCATTTGGCAGGAAACACATGTTTAAGGTACTAGAAATCACAAACTTAAAACGGGCTCATTGATATAACAATTCTAGAGTCGGTCAATTCTTTCCAATTACATGGACCTTCTCAATCTTAATATCTCCTAGTCCTATGACCCAACGTTCCATCATTTTCCTTTTTCTTTCTGTTTTTTTTTATTAGATTTCCTATATTTTCTTTTTTGCACACCTACTTCCCCCTCTATATAGAAACTATTGATTTCGATCGAAATTTATCACAGCATTTTTAGGGTAGAACATTCAATTTTTAATGCAAGATTACAATCACGTGAACTCACAATTTAAAGCGTATCACAGTTCAAGAAATTTTATTTTGGACTTCAACCAAATTTTTAATAGGCAATGATGACTCTGCCTTCCTAAATACCAAAAAATTGGTAAGTCCTAATCGTGTGCATTTCTTTACCTCAAGGACTAGAACATTATAGGATGTCTTTGGACATTTTTGGATTAAAAAGCAGTATTCTTTTAAGTTCCATTCCTGAGGTCCAAGTTAGCATTCCTAAAAAATATAAAAATTTGTACTTAGAAATTTCAATCCTTGATCAATGTTTTTTAACTATTTTGAAAAACAATATTTTGTAATACTGGAAAAGGTTTATACAAGGTGACAATCTTATACTCTAGAGGTAAAGTGCACGTAAAACTCCATCTAAAAAAAGTTGTTCTGATATCGAAAAATCCTATAATTTATCATCTCAAACTTGAGAAATATAGAATTAAAAATAAAAATTTCAAGTCTAAAAAACAATACATATTGTAACAAAGCGTCTAAACAATTGATTTCCAAAAATTGTGTATATATTTGCTTTACCCAAGCAATTTTCAGAACTTAAAAATTTTATAATTAGATGTGAATATATTTTTAAGCCATCATAAGGGTTTCCAGCACCAACTCTGCATGTGTATCCTTCCGATGGATCGGTCTCATACATACCACATATATTCTTCCAAATTTCCATATTCAACCCCCTTTTTGTTAGAAAAGGTTTTTCAGACGCAGGAAAAACCCTAATTTCATCCTCTTGACCTAGAGGATTATAGATTTGACATAAATAATAATAATAATTTCAAACTTCACAAATAATGCATCTTGAAACACATTATCTAGATCATGCATTTTCAGTCAAATATGATTATTGCCCGCCTAAGCCCTAGTTGGAGCTGGATCAATTGATCTGGTCCTGTCCTCACAACAAAACTATGTTCCCAAGTACCGCCTGGTGTGTTGTGAAATAAAAAAAGTTAAAAGTTCTCACAAGGCAACGCATTTGTAAGGAACACCACCATATAGGTTTGTGAAAATAAAATATATAAAACAGATTGTACCAATTTTTACGAAAAATGGATTAAATCATTTTTCTAAAACTCGAAGTACCGATTCAAGAGAGATTGATTAACACAATGACTCAGTAAATATGATTTAATCCCTACACGCCACACCAAACCTTGATGAGAATATGTCAACTGAAACATCAAAGATGCCATCCTTCAAAAAGAAGAGTTGCATAACTCTTAATTGTTTGTTGCCTCTGCAAAAAGGGTATACCAAAGGGATCATTAGAAGCTCCCAAAAAAAAACTCAGATCAATCAAATATATCACAATTGAGTTGTAAATCTAATGCAAATGATGAGTTCCCAAGAAAAAAAATATTGCGTCTATAGTTTGAATTTATTAATTGGTAAAGTATGATAACACTCGTGAACATTTATAAACTAAAACTCGGGGAATAAAAAATTTAAAAGGAAAAAAAGGGCAAAAGAAAAGGTAGGAAAGAGGAAGGGTATACAAAAAGAGACAACAAAGGAATCAATGTGTGATTGGAACGAACACAACTGCAGCAGTGAAGAATGTTCATGGAAGTCGAAAAACCATTCAACAGTCCATATGAAAGTCAAAATGAAAGCAAAATGAAAACCAGTAGCACATAGTAGAATTTCTTAAATTAGAGTAAGACTTTCATGACATGATCTTTTGTACTCAAAGCACACAAATGAACTATAAACCATAGTGTATACTCTAGGGCCAACTGTACATATTTATTGAAAGAAATACAACTGATGGGGTTCCTGAATAAACCTCCACTAGCTTAGCAGAAAAATAGGGTTTTCAAGGTGCTTTTCAAAGAAACTAAACTTTTAACATCCCAGTACAAATATATAGTATAACTATACAAGTAAAATTTGTATAAACCATTAGCAATTAAAAGACACAAAGAAATCAAGTTTGTAAGACTTAAATTAAAAGACACAAAGAAATCAGAAAATCTAGAGAGTGTCTGTCTACTTCAATTATTTCGTCAGCACATGCATTCAATTTTTGTAACAATTCCTCATGTCTAAATTTTTCCTAGATAACTTTTTTTTTGAGAATGTTTAACGGTTTTTTTTCCTAGGTAACTGCAAAACATATTTTGCTCCTAATCCTTTTGAAAACTTAGGAAGTCCTGCTAACAAATTCCCAAAACCAAGATTTGCACCATACTCAAATTATAAAAAATGTAGAACTCAGTAGAGTAAATGAACTAGCAACTCACCAGATTTTGTTGAAAGCCACAATATCACAGCTCTGAATGTACTCGTTTGCCGGTTCAGAGGTAAGCTGTTCCTCAATGAGAGTATCAACAGAAACAAGGTCATCCACAATTGTCATCATAATTTGAAGCTTCTTAATGCCATACCCAACTGGCACAAGCTTTGCTGCATTGCCAATTGCATAAAACCACTCAGTAAACATAAAAGCAAGTTTCAAAAATACTGGTGTAAAGGTTTGCAGAAGTAGGGCCCAAGCCATATCTACAACAATGTCAGCAGATATATGGGCTTTGAAGTGAGAAAGAAAATAATATTTAAATATTGAAACTGAATGGTTAACATAATTCTAAAATATCAGATATAGCAGACTTTATAGTGGATATAATGTGATGCCTTCTCAAATTCATTAACATAATCAAGGAAATATATATATAACAAGCGATTTTAAAAAATAAAATAAATAATAGGGTTCCAATCTCCCACTTTTTTTGAATTTGAAATCAATATATCAGCCACTTCAATGATATAAAAAACTGTTATAAACCTTGAAATACCTAAATTTGACCATATTGTGTAATTATAGAGTACAACATCCTGTATTTCATAAGATTAGATTGTGTGCCTATGGTACAAAAAGGTCACAATAACCCAACCATAAGATGTGAAATCAGGTGGCTAAGGATGTACATTGACAGTGGTTGCAGTCCGAAAAAAAATTCACTTTATGAGGACTGGTGACACACCCCAGCCAATGGATTTCACACCTAATGGCTTGCAGTCTTTGAAACCTTAGAGTCCAAAAGGAAATGGTCTGATTGTATACAATCCCTTAAGTTTAACTATAGAAAGAAGAATATAATCCTTCATAAAGGGATCCACATTGGATGTAGAGAGAAAAACTTACAAACTCCCCAATGAAGACCCTCCATTTGAACGCTTCTAACAGCCTCTTCAAGCTTCTTCATGTCGGTCTCATCATCCCAGGGTTTGACATCAAGAAGAACTGAAGATTTTCCACCTATAAAACAGAATGAACAAACATGAGACAGAGAGTCATTATCATGAGGATAGTTCCATGGATGATCTACAAAAACTAAAATACGAGAGCAAGAAGTATTGGACTGAGCAAGACCAGATACTCCCATAAGAAAAATCTAGAAGAACTAAAATACAAGAGCAAGGAAAATGGGACTGAAATACCAGATACCCCAATGAGAACATTCATGTAGACACTAGACATCAATCAGGGAGAAAGAACAGAAATGGGGAGGAGATGTGTGTGTGTGTGAGAGAGACTCAATATTCCAATGAGAATTCTCATAGGCCCTAGCAATGAATCGACGTGGTGAATCTTTATCTTCCCTATTCTATATGGGCTCTACATAGGTATCCAAGCTCGCAGTAACAAGATAACTTAAAAACTTTTCTATAATGTACGGGTATTTCATCCACCAAAACAAAGGGAAAACAAAAAACTCACTCTCTTTCTTTCTGCCTGATGCCTTGACAGCAGCTGCACGTTCTTCAGCTGCCTTCTTTTCCTCCTCGGTCTCTTCACCAAAGAGATCAATATCATCATCATCATCTTCAGCAGCCGGAGCCTGAAACACCAAAAATTGGACGCAAATATGAAGAAATGAATGTAGTTACAAATACAAATGAAGGAACATAGTACAGGTGTTTTAACCTTTAAAATAAAGGATATATCCCTTATAATGATCAAAAACCCCCACAGCCAAGATCCCAAGCCAAGAAGTAATCCCATAACAAAACCATTAAGCTTTTAAAAAATACAATGAATTGAAAACAACAATTTAACTAGCGATAGCTAGCAATTTTATTTGAATCAATTAAAATTTTCCAAGCATACATTCTCCCCGCATTGAAAAATGCTCTTCTTAAGCTCAAACTCACAGAAACAGTTGATTAATAAATTGTAATGCCTGATTATTCAAAGTTTCAAAAAGCCATCAAAAAACCAATCCTATCTATAAAAATAAAAACAACTCTTAGAAAAAAAAAACGACCACTTTCAGTAATGGAAGAACAAACCTTGGCATCAGTAACCGGAGGAGAAACAGGGGCCTCTACACAAGGGGGAGAAAATCCAGAAATGCTAACACCTTTTCCTTCCGCAGTCACTCCACTGAACATAACAGATCACATTAACATTCAAACAGACTAAAACAGATACATGTTAAGGGAAAACCCTCTTTTTTTTTTCTTTTGGATGAGCAATAAACAATGGTTTTTAAGAACGAACCTCCTCTTGAGAAGTGCATCAATGTGATTGTACCAACGAAGCACATTCACATACTCAGAAGAGGGTGCAGACTGAAAAGCACCATACACAGTAACATCATCCTTTGAAGCTTGGTACCTGAATCAGCACAATACGAGTTAAATTTATTAACAAATCTCAACCATTAAATTATTTCTTTTACAATCCAAATACATAATTGTGAAGATCTAACCCATGATTAACAATGCATAACAATAACTATAATCATTCCATTAACAGTAATCATTCAAGGACCCCACTCCCTCCTCCCCTCAATTAGGGGAAGGATAGAGAGGGTTTCGAAACCTTGACTCCCTATACGATGTGGAGGTTGGGAGGGACAGTATGGTGTGGAAGTGCATATGATCAATCTGTGCACATGCATGGCCGTGCAACTGTGAATTAATGTGCATGTAGGGAGGGAATATATGTTGTGCAAGTGTGCATGTACACGTGCATCTGTGTGTGTGTGTGTGAATGTAGGGTTGGGTACAACAGTGCACGTGGGGAGATTCCATACTCCAGTAAGCTAACCGAAAAGGCAATTTATTTGTTTGAAACTGTACCCAGTGATGTAGCTGCGTGTGAGGAGGTACTCATCCAGCTTCTTGACACCAGCCTGTGAGTTGAGGTTGTAGAATGTGACTGCCATTGCTAATGTTTTGCACCTAATATTCCTACAAATATCCAGGGAAAAAATTCAGTTTTCTTACTTATGTCCAACCAACTCAATATAAGCATTAACATGACATTCTCAAAGTTTTAACTTGTGGCAGGAAATGTATAGAATATACACAATTTTTTTATCATGGAAAATACTCAAAATTCTAATGAACAGAGAAAGGAAAACAACTTTTAAGGAACTTACACTATTTGACTCTATATCAAAAAGACAGATTATTGGTGTTTTATTTAATTATTAGTATTTTTAATAAGAACCATAGTCCTTATTAAAAACTATTACCAATAAATTCCATGTATCACTTTCTTCTATAAATTCCAAAAAAATTGGTGACAAGGGGGGTAAAGGAGTTGACAAATAACAAGGGCAGGGGTCACTGATGGAATTTTATGAAAAAAAATGACATTTTATATCCTGTTATAAATAAATTCATGAAATATAAAAAAATGGATCAATTCATGAATTTATAAGAATAAAAAAGGGAAACATTTTCAGGAAGAAGAAACTAATCATTCTTATCAGAGTCCCATCATGTCTTTGGCAATATTACATTGTCACAGAAATTTATGACAATGTTAATGGCATATGAAATGCCCAAAGACTGTTCTGATTTCAATCAAATCTGCAAAAAATAGGCAGGAAAAGAATAACCATGCGAATAGGGGCAGAATTTAAAAAGGTACTTGCACAGAAATAGTACAAAACTATATTCAAATTGAAAGTTTCAGGGAAATCTTGCAAATCCCATCTATTTCCAGCTAATGAATCACCAAAAGAAAATCAAAACTCATAATAGCTAGATTTTAAAATATTATGGATTCTAACTCATTTGAACTTTGCCTCTGAGAAAATAAAACATTTTGATTTCGCAATCGTATTTAGTTCAGCATATTTTAACTAAATATGTTGTAATCTGCATAAAATAATAATAATAATAATAAGCCAATAACACGTATATGATGCATGAGATTAACCCAAAAAATTCATAAAATTCAAATGCTAAATTCACATAGACAGTTTAAAAATCCAATCAATTTTTTAAACAATTAAAAAAAATAAATAAATAAACAAGGAAGTCTCTGGTTTTCAGATCAAAGGTCTGTCTTTGACAGCAAAATAACTTTCCATCCTCAAATCTCCTAAATTTTTCATAAGATATCACCTTCTCTGAATCTTGTGAAACCAATGACCGTTAAGTTTTATGAGTACGCTCTAACTAAAAACAATTGATATCTCCATGAATCCATAAAAATAGATCAAGATTTTAAAAGAAAACGAACAAATCAGAAACAAAGGAGGTAAAGATTTCACTAAAAAATAAATATTGCAGAAAAACAATATTGAAAGAAAACCCAAACAAATCACAAACAAAGAACGCAAATATTTTACTAAAAAATAAATATTGCAGAAAAATATTATTGAAAGAAAAAAAGCAGAAAGAGCACGAATACTTACTGTAATGGAGTACAGAAAACACAGAGGAGATTGAATTTCCTTTCACAGAGAGGAGGGGAATTTTAACGGAGGGAAAGCAAAGCTTAGCAAAATGAAGCTCGGGCCGGAACTTATAGTGTCTAGGGTTTTCAAGAAAATAAAAAAATGCCCCTGAAGTTTTACGAAATGACAAGAAGCGCGGTTATTTGGGGGACCCGGATTCTATGCGGCCAAGCCTGCATACGTAGAAATGCGGGCTTATTAATAAGTCTATTTTTTAGATGGATTTTTTGATTTAATTTTTAAGGATATGTAATTTCTAACATGGAGATCATGAATGTGTAAAAATAAGTAAAATTTGAAAACTATAAATAATAATTATAATTATAAAACATTTGAACCATTAATTTCTATTGTTTTTATATGGAACACCTACTTGCATTTTACACTTTTTGAACCGCATATGTAGTTAGACGGTCCAGCCCGTATGAAACGATTCTCCTTTGGGGGGGGGGTTGGAATTTCTTGCAAGAAACACAATCGATTGACAACAATAAGAAATGAGACCTTGCTTATATGGGGCCAAGCCGGAATGTATAGAAATGTAGGCCTCTTAATAAATCTATTTTTTGGATGGAATTTTTCACTTAATTTTTACATGCATGTAATCTTTAACGTGGAGATCATAAATATGAATAAATAAATAAATTTAAAAACTATAAATAATAATTCTAGTAAGAAAATATTTGAACTGTTAGTTTTAGTTTCCATTTTTTCAGTTGGAATACCTGCACGCATTCATCTTATGCTTTACACTTTTTGTATCGCATATGTAGTCATGCGGTCCAACCCACATGAAACAATTTTCCTAAGAAATGGGAGACGTTTGTATAGAGCCGAGGCTTTAAACAATCGAAATAAAGGGCACCTTTAAATAGTGTCAGAGAAACATGGTTTCAATACTTAGAATATTTGTTATAGCTTTAAAATATTTTTTCATTTTTAATTATAAACTTTAAAGCTTCAAAATAGTGTAGATCGAGCAGACCTATGAAATATTGAAAATTGACAGTATAAAAATGCATTACAAAACTTGAAATCTATTTTTTTATTATGTTCATACATCTTGATGTTGATAGAATCGATTTAGGGATATTTGGGCATCAAAACAACCCTCTTCCAATGAAATTTTTGAGGTGGGCTCTTATTTGATTATTTTGAGCTCGGCTCTATATAAACTTTTTCCATGAGAAATTGATAGATTGTATCAAATTACCCTCTTAGCCATGAATATAATGATGCAAAGAAGAAGGAGAATAGGAGAGAGAGAGCTAATAACTAAACCCGAAACATCTCTTCCATGGCCGTTGGATCTTACAGGTTTGATCTCTACCTCAAAGAGAATATAGGGCACGTGACTTCCAAATATGAGACTTCAGGGCCTTCTGTAATTACTATATAACTTTTTTATTTGAAAAAAGTTTATATGAGGAGTTGACCTTATATGTACAAGCAAGGTTCATCTAAAAATTCCGTTAGAGAAGGTTGTTTTTATACTGGAAACCCCTCAAATCAATCATTTTGATCTCAAAAAACATAGACATGAAAAAAATGTGATTTCTAGTATTACAAATAGTTAGACTTTTAACATCTTATCTGAATCGTCTATTTTCAAGATTTTCAAATGTGTATAGATTTGTTGGATCGACACAATTTATGGAACTTTAAATTTCATAATTAATGGAAACAATAGATTTTCATATCATTGACTTTGTGGCACCGAAACTTTCAGCAAGGTTTTGAGGTCCTCCTTTTTAAATAGTATAAGGTTGATACCTTGTATAAATCTCACCTTTATTATTTTTTATTGTTTTAAAGAAAAATCAACTTATATCTATTATTTTAAGTGTTATTACAATTTCACCTAAATTTTTCTATTATTACTACTCTCCTCATTTTTTAAAGAAAGACCTATGTGATCTTTTACCGGGGAATGCATGTTTATTTGTTCTTCACCCCTTTCTTTTGGCAAAAGATCACTTACATGTAGTCTTTATTATAATAAGATAATTTCAAAATAAAATCCACAACAATAAAACCAATATCTAACAACTTGATGCTATTGAAATAACTATGCACTATGCTTGAGAATAAAGTATAAGATTGCAAGAAACAAAAGGTAGAGTGCCGGATATTACCTCGACCGGGGTTATTACAGCCCACACCGAGTCACCACCATCCGATGGCGCGGGATCAACGGTCTAGATTCAATTTCAACCGAAAAAGCAAATTTCGGCCAAGCCACGCCAATGGAACATGAACCCCTTTGATCACAAACTCAAACCCTAGATGCATTCTCTTAGCAACCTAGTTTGAGAGAGGCGGATTCTCTTTTTGCTAAACCCTAAACCCTTAGCCATAAATCCATATTTGAGAGATATGAGAGAGAATAATTCCATAACCTAAACCCTTAGGTTCTTTCACAATGTGGAAGAGAGAGATCAAACATGAGAGAGATAAACTTTCTTAAGAGAGAGATAGAAAGATAAGGTGTAGAGATTTTGGGTAGAGATAGGGTTTACTAGGATTTTATTTGGCTTGTCTCTTTTTGTGATATTGAACATATACTGTCGATCAATGGTGATTTATGGGGTGAGAGATCTGAGCCATCCATTCTATAGATGGGCCATCAACATTATGGAATGTGCATATACCATTATCCCCCTTTCCTTAACCATTTTTCTATCAACATAAATTAGATAAATTAACTATAATTAAAATATTATGCATTCCATAATCTTTCACAAAATATTCCAAAGATATATCAAGTCAATAAACATTTTCAATATTTGGTCAATATATGGTCAAAATATTTCATATCTTATTTAACTACGTGCAATAACATAATATTACCAAAACATGAAATAACTTAAACTCTAAGAAAGAATCCAATGGGTGGGGCATGCCACCCATGTGTGGTACATGTGGGCCACACCCACTAGATACATGGTGGGCCTATATGCACTATGGGCCCCTCCATGATATTTTATATAATTTTAAATTATCAAAAAATATATAAAATATTATTTGAATTTTATAATTTTGTAAAATCAATATCTTCATTTTTATAAGTCCACAAAAAATTATTATTAAAATATCAAATGACTCATAAAAATTCAAATAATATTTCTAACATTATTTATATCATAAAACAAGCATAATTAAATTAACTTGATGGGAAATTGATCCACATGGTTAAGAAATTTAATCTGCAATCATGGGGTACTCCACCTTCAACTGTGAACTACAAACCACACTTACTTTATCGAACCTCCCCAGTGTTTCCCATGACACACAGTCCACGCAGGGGCTCATTAGCGAGTCACCAAAGTCTGGCGGATGAGCCAAGGGGTCACAATCCCAGTCTGTGGATTACAGGTCTTCCCTTAGAAACAAGTCAAAGTCACCAAGACCTTATGCCACCATAGCTCTATGACACATAGGGGTATCTCTCGCACATACATACGTTTCACCCTAAAAGGTGGATTTATGGCTTTTCCCAAAGATCTATAGATATGCATGCCAACATGGATGAGGTTTTGGCCCTTGTCTCTGGAGGCCACCATCACACACAAGGGTCATACAGTCCCACAGCTCACTCATCCGGGCATGTTCTCCGACTTCATCAGGGCTAACCCATAAACCCTAATCGATTTGTTCTTCATGCCCAGGTAACATAGGTTTTTTCCAACTAACTGGCCTAGATTGTTAAGCACATATCGATATCAGCAAATCATCGTTTTCTTAGTATGGTCCACGAGAGACCACACTCATACAGAGTTCATGTTCCACTATATCATTTTATTTTACAATCACTTATAAGGCCTTCAGAGGCCACATAAACCCAATATCTCCCACTTGGCCTTTGAGTACCTTATATTCTATCTTTCTCACTTTCTCTTATTCGCATCTCTCTCTCAAATTACAATATCTCTCAAGCGTTTTTACTTATTCTTTCAATACATTAATCATTGCTATCAACCCTTTCACAAAAAGATTTATAGAAGCAACACATTTTTTTCTTTGCTGCTCGGATCTCATCCGTCGTAGTTCATCTTCCACATCGTATCGTGAATCATGGACCTGTTGTCGTAAAGACCATCACATACGCTCATCGCATAGGGTCATATGTTAATGGGTTCAAAAGAGTTATTCAAATATGTTGCGTCATTTTTTAGCCATACAACCAGTACCAAACATTTGGATTCCATGGGTGAACAACATTATAGAATGTTGTTTTATTTGACATGTCAGATACTAGCACGTGCTCCCACTGTAACATTTAGTTTATTTGGATTTCGATCTTTCTCAATCTCACATCATTCATCAGGTGATAAAAAACATGGTTTTATATGCTTGGAATTCTCATAGAATCGTGGCTCCTTTGACATGTATATTGTCAACGTGCTGTCGCATAAAATTCTTACTGCCTCACAACGTACTAGGTAAAAGTCAAGTCGATTAATGAATTTCTTAATCCATACGGCCTTCTCGATCACCAAATAGCACGTCACGTACTCTACTTTCATGGTGGACAATTTCGTCACATCCTATTTATTTGATTTCTAAGAAACTGCACCCCCTCCAAGCATGAACACATATCCAGATGTAGACTTCGCATCGTCTGGATCTGTGAGATAACTTGCACTTGTATATTTGAATATCCAATTAGCTAAAAAAACGTGGGACTGTAGTAGCTCCCACTCAATTATTGCACATACAATATATACATTCTCAGTATTCTTATGCATATATCATGAGGTAGCATATAAAGTCTCATGCAATGTGTAATTCAATACCCGTTGGTTTCACAATATGCAAAAAACTTCATGAACCACAAAGGTTCAACCACACTAGACATCTTGGTAGTAAATTCATAAAAACCAAGTCATCTAATCAACACAATATGTGTCAGGGAAGCCCAGCATGATGGCATTCCTACAGCATTCCCTTTGGTTCAAAATTATAGGTAATTGAGGATTCTAAATAACTATAAACACTGGTCAAAGCATATAGATATTTTTTTTAAAAAAAATTGCATGATAGTTTTTCT